TAATATAGTTAGCTTTCAATGCTTCCTTTTGGTATTCAGGAAGCTTGCCGTTTTTCCTATTTAATGAAGCCAACCATATATTTTTCTTTCTTATTCGATGTTCGATACCCATATTGAAATCTGACTAAATTTAGATTTGTATCAGAAAGTCTCAATCATATATTTTTTTTTGTTTCTTATTTGGCGTTTGATATCCACATTAAAATTTGACTAAATTTAAATTCGCACCAAAATATCCCATATTAGAGCTAAAACGCTAGTTACAAAGGAGGAAGCTCTGATTAGGAAGCCAAACTTATGTCATTGTCATTAAATTGATTTTACCTCTTATTTCTTACATTTTATATAATATAATATTATCACATAGTAATGTCTTTATCATATTCACCCCTAATAAACTGGGATACGCTAAGTCTTCGGACATTTCACATTTATACAGAGCAGCACATCACACATGTTCTAATTTATGCTGCAAAATCAAATTTTTGAGATTCAAATAAATTTTAATCATGAATTTGGATACAAAATTTTTAAAATAAAATTCATATATAATTAAAAATTACGTAAAAAATAACATAAATCACAATAATTAATAACTAAAACATTTTAATAAACATATAAAGAAACTCAATCAAAAAAATATTTAAATAACTTTCGAAATTCCAATTATATCACGTTAATTAATACACAAGGCATAATAAAAATTAATCCTCGAGATTTTCTTTCTAGGAAGAGCATGAAATAGTTCCTAATTATTTCTGTTGGGTGTATTATTGGTGGTCTCATTTTCAGTATGTGGGGACAAAATTTGAACACAACAGCAAAATGACAAGCCAAAAAAAGGAGGAGCAGAAAATACGAATTAAGTAACGACAACGAGAAAAAGTTGCTTTGGTTTATTTACGTTAGAAATATCAATCATATACATACAATAATATAGTGTCGTATTCAGAAATTTCACGAATAATATTCAGATGTCAAGAAAAATTTCTCTAATCAAAAAAGAATTACAACCAAATCAACCAATAATTAATTACTAAATTATAAAACTTTTAAAATAGAATCAACGATTATATAGATTTGAAACTAACATAAGAAGACAAGAACAAAAAAATTATTATCAAAAACATAATTTAAATATATTATTAGTAATTGTATTCAATGATCTAAAATTTCATCATTTATTCGATAATATACTTCATGGTTGAGAAAGTTCTTTCAATCGTTACAGTAGGCCAGTAGCAACGGAAAATAACAAAGCTAGTCTTTCTAATTGGAATATAAAAGGATAACTAAAATTCTTCTTTATCTCAACTAGTTTTTTTTTAAAGTTCACTAAATCCACCTAAATTAAAGATTCTTCTATCAATATCACATACTGACATACATCAATAATATAATTAATAAATTGATTCGACACCCATACTAAATTGATCAAGATCATCAAAATATAATTCAGTCATTCTTATTATTATTATTATTATTTGTGGAAGCTCAACCCAACTGCACCCCTATTCAATTTTGGGCACATAGTATGGTCCATTATAACGTCAACTTGATAGATACTCTAGGTGTTTAACCTTCTAACTTTTAATTCCCTGCTGCCAGGTATTATTTGTTGGGCATATTATATTGAATATGTGTGTATTTTTTCCCTGTACATTAATAGTGATGGATAGTTTTTTTATTTGGACGTTTGATGATTCATCATTTCAACTCATTAGATTGATTTGTCTGTTTCACTGAAAAGAATGGATACCAATTACTATCAAAGTCAACTGTTACCTAAACATAAAATTAATTTCACTGTCCTTTTCTGCTTAAAATTGAAACCAAGTTTGTTCAACAAATAGAACGAAACAAGAAAAGGGAATTTTGACCTATCAAGTAAAATCTTGAGCCATCGTTTGGTTACTAGAATGGGACAGACAAAAATATCCCATAAAATTAGCTATTCCATCTTTTGTGGGATAACTAATCACGCCATTTTAGTAATTAATTACGACTTGCAATTGTGTTGGTTCAATCATTCTCACTCAGACAACATTTCACTAATTAAACGATGGATTTTTTTTAGCCTAGAGCCAGGAAAGCGAAAGCTCGAATGGTAAGTTTAAGTTGATCTTGCCCTCCTTTGGATATAAGGAGAGGTTGTTCTAATTCTAGAACCAGAACGGTAAGTATATCCACTTATGAAGGCTTTTGAATTTTGGAAATTGAATTAATGACGTTTACTTCTTAGGAATGTTGAAAAAAAACTAATTGGTACGTGATTTTGTGAATATGCCTATTTCTATTGTTTTTCCTTCATTGATTTGATTCTTTCTTTTTTTGAATATGACTGACTGTATTTATCTTTTTCCTTCATTGATTTTATTTTTTCAATAGATACCAAGATTCAATCATTGGAATGCCCTGTGCTTCAGTTATAGTGAGTTTGATACCAAAATTAAGTAAAAAGTTCTTAGTTGAGAGACCATATGAGATATTATCTCGAAATAAATGAGAACCATAACTTCAATATAAATGAACTACATAACTGAAAACAATAGCTTAATAGTACAAGGCTTCTCATAGCCTACATTTGTTTGAACGTGTTTCCAGGTGCAGATGTAGGTGGCTTATCTTTCCCAATATTGACGTTGCCTTCAGTTTTAACCACTACACTGCTCTTAAATTGTGGGATTTTTCCGTAAAGTTGATTGTTAGAAACATCCAATTCCGTTAAGTTTGGCAGTAATGTGAGCTCATTTGGAATAGTTCCTGTAAGAGAATTGTCTGCTAGGATCAACCTCTGTATTGACGTAATGGACGACAAGTTGGGAGAGATTGTCCCAGTAAGTCCACTTTTCTCAAAATTCAGTACTGTAATGTTTTCACCATCACAAGTTATGCCCAGCCAACGCAAACAAGGATCATTCCCCGTCCAATTCTCAGCGAACTCCGTGGGATACCCTACATCCTTAACCACATCCAACAGTGTACTAACCCGTGAGTCACAAGGACCAGGCTGTGACAAACAAAAACTATTGGTATTATCCAACATATCCACTAGCACTGAAGATGGAAATTGTGGCGTAGGCCCTTGCAAAATGTTGTTTGTCAAATTAACCACTTTTAACGAAGGAAGATTAACCAAAGAGTCTGGCACTGGACCAGTGAATCTATTATCTCTCAAATTACAATCTTGCAACTGAGTTAAGCCCGAAAAATCAGGCAAAGGGCCTGTAAACTCATTACCTGAAAACCAGAGTTGGGTTACTCTGGTCATGTTCTGTATCACATCTATTGAGCCATTCAACTTACCTTTAATACCATTTAACCACAACGATTGGATAGAAGAACCCGCAAAACTCGAGGGCAAAGGACCCTCCAAATTATTAAACGACAAATGCAAAGTTGTTAAACTAGAAAAAGTATTTCCACCAAAGAAATCAGGGATTTTACCAGTAATATTAGCATAATAAGCTGAGAAAATTTGAAGAGCAGTAGCACTTTTCAGACTTTCTGGTACAGTCCATGACGAAAAGGGATTGGAATCCAAGTAAACACTTTGCAAATTAGTCATACCTTGAAAAAAGTCATTAGGAATTGAAGTGAACCCATTGCCATTAAGAAGAATGCTCTGCAATGAGTTCAATCCAGAAAAACTCGGGAGCGGACCAGTGAATGCATTTCTTTGAACTTCAAAAACTTGCAATTCAGTAAGGGTATTAATGTTTGATGGGAGAGAACCTTTTAGGCCTTGATCCCCAACTTGAATCCTAATTACGCGACCATCCTTAGTACATTGAACTTTATCCCATTTACAGGGATCTGGATCGTTCCAGTTAAGTGAATTCGGATTTATTATTTGTTTCTTCAATTCTTGCATCACTGCAGCATCTGTAGCAGCACTGCCCTGAGGCTGAGAGTATACAGAGACAACATTGGACAAGAGTATCAACAAACACACAAAACTCAAATGGGGTTTTTTCAAATTCATTGTGTTGGTCAAGAAAATATAGAACAAGTTCAAGAAATTGGAATTTTTGTTTGTTTTCTTTATGAATTCTTGTATGAATTTATAGAAAAAATTATGAGAGTTCCAAATGGTAAGTTTGACTCATGAAGAAAGAATGAGCTTATTTTACCCTTTTTTATGGATGGTAATTTAATGATTGGATCAAATATTAAGAATTTAGGGAAAAAAATTAATCATAGCAAGATATTGTTACCAAGAAACCTTTTTAAAGAGAATAATTTTATGAATTCAAACTGAAAAACTGGCTAGATTAAACATCATCATTCATATACAACCTTTTCCCACTTTACTGCGTGCTGTTAATTTATTTTATTTTTACAAAATTGTTACTTCCAGATTCTATGTTATGTCACATCATCATTAATACAATTTTCTATAATAAAAAATAAGTTTTAACTTTAATTTTGGCATACATCACTACCCACCCTTCCCCTTAACATAAACGGATCGTCATGGCCTTCTCCTGAGTTCTCAAAAGAACCTATGTCGCTCTATCTTCGTAGTCTTGATTTTGCTATCGGAAGCTCTGGAAAAGTCAGAATAGGAGAGTACTCGATTTGGAATGGACTTACCATTTAGATGATTCCACTATGCACTTGGCTACACAACATTTATAGTAGGTGCATTCTTTCCGCCCTTAATTACATAATTTTTACTTATTCATTTGAGCAATTCAGATAGATTTATTATTTCTCCTTTTTCATATTATTCTTATCATTGAGTAAGTACATGAAGAATTAATAGTCAGACTTAAAATTTTAAAATATATTTAATAAAAATAATTTACTAATATAGATCTCTAATAAATAAAAATAAATTCTCGACAGACATGTCAATTCAATAAATTACAAGTAAAAAAGAACAAAGGAGTTACTTTCACATGATGTAGTCTGTTTTGCAAGGAAATCAGTCTCACAGTTAGTTTTCCTGTTCTGCAAGGACACAACTTGTGGATGTTTTTCTTGGATATGATATGTTAAGGCAAAGATAAGATCATTGTAATATAAGATGAGATGAAAACAATTACATTGACTCTACTGCAGAAGTGACACAATTTGCTGGGATTACACATATAGGAGATTCAGTGTTTTCATTACAACTAGACAGAGACACTAATAAAAGATGTTATTATTTATATTACATGACACATTTACTTGAAGAAGACATAACATAAAATTCATTTGTTTCAAGCCTTGAAATGATCAACTGGAAGGTTTTCCTCATCACGCGTCTTGGGATCGTGTTTTCTGCGATGAGTGTAAAGCATTCCCCAGTTATAGGCCTTATACTTTGCAGGGTTCTTCTCATTGACCTTCTCCTCCAAGGGTTGTATCCAAGTACTATGCGATGGATTGACGAAGAATGGAATTGAAAATCTACTCCTTTCAGTATTGAGCACGACGCGATGTTCCACACTCTCATATTCACCATTGCTATACACCTGGTGATCATTTATAATAAGTACCAGTTATATATAGATAGATAGATATATCAAGAATACAATATTATTTTCTTTGATAAGCGAGCGTACCTGTGTAGCGTCACCAAGATTTACAATGTAAGCATCAGGAGTAGGTTTAACTCCTATCCATTCTCCATCAGTTTTCCTCTTTATTTCAAGCCCTCCGGTATCATCTTGAGACAAAATAGTAAATAAACCAGCATCTTTGTGTCTACCAACTCCTAAAGCCAGATGAGGGACAGGACAAGGAGGATAATGATTTATCCTTCCAAAAGCAACTTGGTCTTCAAAGAACTCATTCAGCCTTTTTGCTGGCAAGCTTAAGCTGAGTGATATCACTTCTGCTAACTTGTAAGCCAACTTTTGCATTTGTTGAATATACTCTTCACACACCTCCCTGAAAATCCAATCATAAATAAATCTACTTATATGCAAAATATTACTTTGGGATCAATCATACCCTTGACGTTAAAAAATCATTTAGAGTAAAAACAGCTTTCTCAAATTCAGGAATAAGTTTTCTTCCCTAAGATATTTTTTTGATAGTAGAATATTATTACCTCAATCCTGGAGGGTACTGAGGCCATTGGTTGTGAAACTCCCTGAGCTCCTTGTCATTAGGATCTTGAGAAAGTGGGACCATAGCTGTCTTCTCAACAGTAAAATCAAAGACTTCTTTCCAGTCCCTAATCTTTTTTGTGAGCTCAGTATCATAATATCCCATGAAGTTCACCTCATTTCTCTTCACTTTTATCTTTTCCTCTTTAGGTAAACCAAAGAACTTTCTTGATGCCAATTCTATCTTTTCCCTGCACTCTAAGGACACCCCATGATTGATCACTTGGAAGAATCCCCACTTCTTGCATGCATTTCTTATTTCAGCAACTAGACTTTCTAACTCCGCGTCAGTCGTCGATGTATATGGACAATTCAGTATTGAGAGATCAATCACTGGAATGCCCTCTGCTTCAGTTTTGGTGAGTTTTGGCCTGTGTTCAACATCTTGGATGATTGCTGGATGGACTATTACCATTGCTCAAATTATTTGCTTAGAGGATTACAATCACAGATTTTGGACACTGGAAAGTGCTTTGTCATACAGAAATTGTTTTAGGTTACTGGGAGTTTTATAATCACAACTATGGCTCAACATGCCAAGAAATTATACACCTGCTACATTTCTTTATTACAATCATTGGAGGGGTTTTGTTTGCATCAACTTTAGATGATTAAGTAATTATGAAAGCAGGTAATTAGTACCTTTCACACTTCATGTAATTTTTAGGTTCTCAATAATGATTTAAGGTTAGCAAGATAAACAAACTATTTACAAGAAAAAAACTACCCCACTTTATTCCCTCCAGCATAATAATACAAGACTTCTCATAGACTACATTTGTCATTTCTCTCCTTCAAGTACCTTTCGGTCACAGATACACTGATGTATCGTACTCTCTTTCGACCAAGTCATCATAAGAAAATACTGCAAAGAGTAGGAAAGAATAAATGATTGAAAAGCTCAACAGGCTTTACATCACCACCATGTTATCAGTGGCGGAGTCAGTAATTTCGTCAAGGGTGTTCAAACTTTAGATGATTAAGTAATTATGAAAGTAGGTAATTAGTACCTTTCACACCTCATGTAATTTGTAGTTTCTCAAAAATGATTTAAGGTTAGCAAGATAAACAAACCATTTACAAGAAGAAAAAAAACTACCCCACTTTATTCCCTCCAGCATAATAATACAAGACTTCACATAGATTACATTTGTCATTTCTCTCCTTACAGTTCTACTGCACCTTTCGGTCACAGATACACTGATGTATCATACTCTTTCGACCAAGTCATCATAAGAAAATACTGCAAAGAGTAGGAAAGAATAAAGCTCAACAGGCTTTACATAATCAGTACCATGTTATCTGATCCTTCAATTTTATGAAAGTTTAATCATTCACCATCAAATAATGGAAGAGAAGATAAATAATCAAAAAGTTCAACTGACTTGATATCATGACCTTGCAAATATCTATTAATCATTGCTTCTTCAAGTCCTAAGATCAAATAAGGCATACATTAGGTGATTAGGGGTGGCAAAATCAAATCTCACCCGTCCAACTCGCTCAACCCAATTAAGCTTGAGTTGGTTATTGACCCGTTCATTCATTAGCTCAATCCAAAAACTAGGTTGATATGTAATCCGAATTGGCTGATGACAAATCTTGTCAAAATATTTTATTTTATTTTATTTTCAATTTGATATGTTATATAATAAAGAAAAAAAAAAATTATTAAGTACTAAAATAGTTTAAAAGAACAAATAAAACAATCAAGCTTATTAAAAATTGGGTGGGGTTGGATTTTGACCCGATTATTGTCTTAACTCGGGGAATTTTCACATATAGCCACTCAAAATAACTTAATTATGCTTCATAGCTATAGTTTGCTAATTACGATTCGTTGAGCGAGATTGGAAGAGGGAGGAGAGAGGCAAGCGAGATTGGGAGAGGGAGGAGAGAGGGCAGAGAGTGAAGAGAGGTGAATTGTATATGTATATCAGTTAGATAATTGTATATATGTAACTAGTATGTATATGTATCAATGATTGTATTTGTATTTTTACATTCAATTTGTATTTGTATACAATTGAATCGAGTTCAAACATTTGTATTTGTATATCTAGTCTCTCTCTCGCTATATACAAACACAAATTATACATTTGTATTTGTATAATTTGTGTTTGTATAAAGTGAGAGAGAGACTGGCAGAAGAGAGGCGAGAGAGAGACTGAGCAGGGAGAGGAGAGAGGCGAGGGAGATGATTGAAAAAGAGGAGAAAGGCGAGAGAGACGAGAGAGATGAATGTAATTATAGCTGGAAGTAAGTTTCAAATTGTAATTAATGCAAACTATAGCTATGTTAGTTAATTAACTAGTACTATGTTTGCTTAACCGTGTAAGAATTATCTCCAAACTGCAAAAGGAAAATAGTTAACTGGATGGGAACAAATATTTTGATAGTCATTACATTGAAACTAAGTATTGAAGTTCAATAAATAAAATGAGAACAAGAAAAGCACTAATGGATCGACACTGACAATCACAGAGATGTAAACAGATTTTGGAAAGTGGAAAGTTCCTCCTTCATATTGTTCTAATTTTCAGTATCAACCTTTACGTCCTCCTCTCCATTGATGAGATATAATTGTTTGTACTTGAACTAAAATCCATTAATTATAGGAAATAGAGGTCGTTCATTAATGTCAATTCTGAACACTGAAATTTCAATGCATCGTGTAAATGTGAATTGACTGAAGTTTTATGGTTAAGTAGCATACAGAAGCAACCCCACATTGGCTATTATTTTGAGGCATTCAATAACTAGAGGAGTTCGACTTTCGTTAACTTAATTACTTCCATGCAGAAGCAACCCCACGTTAACTTAAGGATGCATTGCTTTGGCTCAGTAAGTAACAAAGTTATTACTTAGTGTGAGATTAAGAGTTTAGTCTCATTATTGTATTTGAAGTCTGTATTCACTTTTGCTTGTGATTAGTGAAAGCAGTTGAAAATCCTGTGTGACAGGTCGTGGTTTTACTCCCTTGAGCAAGGAGGTTTCCACGTAAAACTCCTTGTTCCCATTGTCGATTGTTTCAACTCTTTACTGCATTCTCTTTGTACGTTTGACCTGGTACTATAACATATTGGTGGACGCTTACATTCCAACGGTGTCCTTAGAGTGCAGTCAAAAGATTGATTTGGCATCAAGAAAGTTCCCCAGTTCTTGCATGCATTTTTCACCTCAGCTACTAATCCTTGCAGTTTTTCTCAGTAGATATATCTGGAGAATCCAGTGTTGAGAGATCAATCACTGCAATGCCCTCTGCTGGATCAACTTCTCCCATAGCTGAATTATTTGCTAGCTACTGGTGTTCTTCTTAGAGGATCACAATCACAGAGGTGTAATAGATTTTGGACAGTGGACAATTCATTGAGGTTGCTGAGGTTTTATAGTTGTAACGACGACTGAAGCCTAAAAATTTCTTTATAAGTATTGATGCAAAGTAGGTAATTAGTGTCTATATCTTGTTTGATTTACAGATCATTAACTTGTAATTCTAAATAATGCCTTAATATTATAGAAAGATAAGCAAATCATTTTACAAGAAAAAGACTACCACTTTATTTCCTTCCAGCTGAAAACAACAGCTTAATAATACAAGACTTCTCATAGACTACATTTGTCATTACAGATCACCATTTCTAAAATGATATATTTGAACGTTCTCGACATTAAGTTTCTTGAAATTACTAAGGTTTCTTGTAGTGCGAAATTCTCCCCAGTTGTAAGCCCTGTATTTTGCTGGACTTTCTTCATTTGTCAGCTCCTCCAGAGGCTCAACCATTACATAGTGAGACGGGTTGAAGAAAAATGGAACGGAGAATCTCTCTTTCATGGAGCTTGCTATCACCCTATGTTCAACACTTTCATATCTGTCATTGCTCCAAACCTGTGAAATTTTTTGGCTCAATTCAAGTGTTTTGCTTTTCTATCAAGAATTAGGCAGCACAGCATGGGACAGTAGTCATACCTGAATTATGTCACCAACGTTGATAATATAAGCATCTGGAGTTGGTTTAACCTGTATCCACTCTCCATCTGTCTTGCGTTTCACCTCGAGGCCTCCAACATCATCTTGAGCAAGAACAGTCAGGGCACCAGAATCCTTGTGCCGCCCAACTCCCAAAGCCAAATGATGAATTGGGCATAGCGGATAGTAATTTAATCGCATAAAACTTGTTTGGTCCTTAAAGTAGCTGTTGAGCCTTTTGGATGACAGGCCTAAGCTTAGAGCAATTAATTCTACCAACTTGTATGACAGTTTCTCAATACCTCGAGCGTATTCTTCACATGCCTCCCTGCAATAAAGTCCAAACTACTCCATTAGATCATAGAACCATTTCTAAAAGCAGCTATGATGCCTCAAAAAATTGAAAAAGGAAAAATGGGGCACCTGAAATTAGCAGGAAAATTAGGCCATTGATTCTTCAGTTCCATGAGTTCCATATCATGGGGTTCATGAGAATCAGGCAAGAGAGTTGGATTCTCCACAACAAAATCAAAAACTTCTTTCCAATCCCTAACATTCTTGGTATGCTCTGTATCATAAAAACCCAAAGGGTTATCTTCATCTCTACTCACTTTCCTCTTCTCCTCAGTAGGCAGCAAGAAGAATTCCTTTGATGCTCTCTCTATTTTCTCGCGACACATAGATGGAACTCCATGGTTGATTACTTGAAAGAAACCCCATTTCTGACATGCATCACCAATTTGTGCAACAAGATTTGTAATTTCTGAAGAAGAGCTTAAAGAATCAGAGGTTAGAATTGGAGAGAGATCAATTAAGGGTATGCTTTCTGCCTCAATTGTACTCTGTTTTGGCCTGTGCTCTGTTTCTTGAAAAAAAGATTCATCGATATTTCCCATGATAGATATTTCACCTTCTTTTCTTTTTTTTTGGTTACAAGTGAGAGGGTGAGAGGAGAATTTGGTAGTTCTGGCTGTAAATTGTCACATGATATATAGCGACAGGACTGAATGGATACATTGAATATGGACATATTTTGATGTTTGCCATTTCATTAACTTTGGCACATTTGTTTCTTTAGCATTGCAAATTTGTTTTTTATTTTTTTATTTTATTTATATTATATATTATATTATTAGAAATATGGAAAAGGACGTAAGAGATAATTTGGAAAAAAGAAAAAAAAAAATTAATTCTGTCAAATTTGATTTCGTAGCCTTTCACAAACTTAATTCTAAAAGAGAAGTATTGAAAACGCATACACCCCTAAATTCTCACCAAATTCAGGAGTGTTCTCTTGATTTTTTTGTTAAGAGTCTCCACGCCCAACAAGTGTTTGAGACTATTGTCAATCAGGGGTGTATATGAAATATTCAGATTGGAAATGGTCATAAGAAATCATTTCCTCAATAATTCTTCATATTTAACGTTATGTACTTAACAAGGTTTACAAACATCAATGTAAAAATATCTGCCATGATAATCAATATCTTCTGGAGACATGACCAGATTTGAATTTAAAGTTAGTAGCTTAGGTTACTGTTTTTT